TATTGACATTTTAAAAGATATAAGCTCATCCCGATTTTACACTCATCAAGACCTTTCATTTGAGTACCCATATCAATTTTTCATATATTTATATATGTATATATGAAAAATATATCAAAAATGCATATGGGTACTCAAATAAAAGGTCCCGATGAGCGTGATGTCGGGATGAGCTTATATCTTTAAAAATGTCAATATTTAAGAAAGTACAGTGCAATTTAACATAATTAAGAAACTACCTTGTATCTTGTGAACTATATTGACATTTATGAAGATATAAGCTCATCCCGATGTTACACTCATCGAGACCTTTCATTTGAGTACCCACATCAATCTTTCATATATTTATATATATTATATATATGTATATATAAAAAATATATCAAAATGCATGTGGGTACTTAAATGAAAGCTCTTGATTAGTGTAACATTGGGATGAGTTTGTATCTTAAAAAACGTCAATAGTTATATTAAAAAAGTACAGTGGAATTTAACAAAATTCATTATTTAATAAAGCAAAATTTTATTTATTTATAGTTCACAAGCCACGGCAGTCACATAGTGCAAGGATGCTAGTTTAAAATAAAAACTTTTTAAAAATACTCACATTATTATCACTTAAATCCAGCAACCGTAGAGTTTTAGTAATACTGGTCCCATTTAACCACAACCATTTGTTTTTAATGCTTTGATAATTGTTGACAACACCAGGAGTCTCTCCCAGTAGATTCGATGCTAAATTCAGTTCTGTCAAACACGCAAAAACGTTTCCTAGTTCTTTAGGCACAGAGGAAATCGCGTTGTTGGATAAATTTAAAATTCTCAGACTCTGTAGACGCAGCATTTGACGATCGAAAGATTTCCTCCCGAGCCCAGAAACATGAAGCTCTTCAGTTTCCAAGTTGTCCTTGGAAAACCTTCAAGCACTGGGTACTCAGCCTTAGATCTAACAAATACCTTTTTCTTGGCAGTCGAAACAGGAAAACTGTTGGAGTTCAAATCCTTCAATTTTACGACGGTATCTCACGTGTCTCTCTGTCTCACAGTCTTGTATCGGTTCCCTTGATAACGCAGGAA